AATCACCCAAGTATTAGATAACCTTCAGTTGCCCGAAGAAGTAGCTATTGTTCATGTTCCCGGACAACAGAAAAACCTTTCTTTTGAAAGCTAGGGAAACAACTTAGCAGATCAGATACCAAGCAGACTGCCTTTTCATCTGGAACACCTGTCTTTCACTTAACCCCTTGTCTTCCCCTACCGCAGTCCCTGTCTTCTCAGCCATGGAGAAAGAAAAATTAATAAAAATAGGGGCCAAAGAAAACTCAGAAGGAACATGGGTGTTACCCCGACCAAAGGGAAATGCTATCCAAACCCCTCCTGAGAGAAATCCTGTCTCATTTCCATCAAAAGACCCATTGGGGACCCAAAGCCATGTGTGACACAGTTCGCAGAGTTCACGGATGTATAGGAATTTATACCTTGGCCAAACAAGTCACGGAGAGTTGCTTAATATGTAAAAAAAACAACAAACAAGTTATAAAGAAACCGCCCTTGGTAGGGAGGAATCCAGGGCTAAGACCATTCCAAAGTATTCAGAGTGACTACACTGAAATGCCCCTAATAGCTCATCCAAAGTATTTGTTATTAATAGTAGATCACCTCGCTCACTGAGTTGAAGCTATTCCCTTTTCAAATGCAATGGCCAATAATGTAGTAAAAGCACTAAATGAAAATATAGTGCATAGATTCGGACTAACAGAGAACATTGACTCAGACAATGGAACCCATTTCACAGCACACGTCATTAAAAAGTTGTCCCAAGACCTAGACATTAAATGGGAATATCATACACCTGGGCATCCATCTTCATCAGGGAGAGTAGAAAGGATGAATTAAACTTTAAAAAATCACTTAACCAAATTAGTTGTAGAGACTCGGTTACCATGGACCAAATGTCTTCCTATTGTCCTGTTAAGAATCCAAACTACACCTCAAAAGGATACAGGCCTTTCCCCTTATGAAATGCTCTATGGACTGCCCTATGTACACTCCACTACCTGTATCCCTACATTTGAGACAAAAGATCAATTCCTCAGTAATTGCATATTTGGTCTCTCCTTTACCTTCTCTTCTCTTAAAGCCAAAGGTCTCATGGTACAGATGCCACCCCTACAGTTCCTGGTCCGTTAGCACCAGCCCAGGGATCACATCCTCCTCAAATGCTGGAAAGAAGGAAACGTTGAGCTGGCCTGGGAGAGACCCTACCTAGTGCTCCTGACCATTGAAACTGCAGTCCAGACAGCAGAGAAAGGATGGACCCATCACACTCAAGTCAAGAAAGCACCGTCACCCCCGAAGTCATGTGCCATTATTCCAGGGGAAAACCCCCTCAAACTAAAGTTAAGAAAAATTTAACTATCTTCCATCTATTTTATTACTCTTTCTTCTTTTCTCCTTCCAATGCTGACCACCTTGTCATTAATGTAGCTAAATCAAACACACCCCAAGTTATTACGTTTGATGCTTGTCTAGTCATACCCTGTAGAGATCTCCAAAGTCAGAGGCAACTCTCAGACTCAGAAAAGTATGTCCGCCCCTTTAAAGTGAAAGGCTCCGCCTATCAAGACTCTTGTTCCTTAACAAATATAGAAAAACAAGTCTGTCATAGCTGGAATGATGTCCTGTTGATAACCGAATATCAAGGCTGGACCTCATCAGCGGGTGGTTGTATGGTGAATGTATGGTTTATCCTTAAAACCATACATTCATTTCACTAAGGAGAGCACCTCCCCTAATTGCCAGTATAACCAATGTAATCCCATATAAATTTCTATTCTCATTCCCACATCTACTGATCCTAAACCTACTTTAAGTTGCTTCTATGGCACAGGAGCCAACTTGGCTGCACAGAGCTCAGAGAGTCTTTTGAAATGCGTTTTATTAATCCTTCATTCTCTTCACCCTCTTCCTTCTCTTCTCCTTCTGAGCTTTCTTCTAATCAGACTGCCATCTCTTCTGTACCTAATGATAATACTAAAGTAGATATTGTAGCAGAAGATGATGTAAGGCAAACTTCAGCAATTGAAACAGGATATCAAGATGTAAATGCCTGGTTGGAATGGATCAAATATCCTGTCTCACATTAAATAAAAGCAATTGTTATGCTTGTGCACTCGGCCGGCCAGAGGCCCAGATCATCCCCTTTCCACTCGGATGGTTTCCCAGTTGACTGGGCATGGGCTGCATGGTAGCTCTCTTCCAAGATTCCATGGCTTGGGGCAACAAATCATGGCAACCTCTCTCTCTGCTATATCCCAAAATCCAACACCCTGTGGGTCAGCCCCCGAGGGCCATACAGCTTCTGTCTTCTGATGTCAATTTCACCTCGTGTCTCTCATAACAGAGGGAGAATTTAGTGTTCCTTGGAAGCTTAGTGGGATATAGTGATCTTAAGCCTTTCCAGGAGCTTACTCTTCAGTCTCCCCTTAGTCATCCTCAAGCAGATGTATGGAGGTGTTGTGGTGGCCCCTTACTGGACACTCTGTCAGGTAACTGGAGCAGTACTTACGCTTTTGTCCAATTGGCTATCCCTCTCACCCTGGCATTTCATCAACCAGGAAAAGAAAAAACACAAAGTCATAAAATAAGAGAAGCCCCTTATGGGTCTTTTGACTCTGAAGTTTATTTAGACGCAATTGGAGTCCCACGGGGGGTACCTGATAGGTTCAAAGCCCGAGATCAAATAGCTGCAGGATTTGAATCATTATTTCCATGGGTAACTATTAATAAAAATGTAGATTGGATTAATTATATCTACTATAACCAGCAACGATTTATTAATTACACTGGAGATGCTGTCAAAGGAATAGTTGAGCAATTAGGACCTACTAGCCAAATGGTTTGGGAAAATAGAATGGCCCTAGACATGATGTTAGCTGAAAAAGGTGGAGTTTGTATTATGATCAAAACTCAATATTGCACCTTTATCCCAAACAATACTGCCTCTGACAGAAGCATAAGAAAGGCCTTACAGAGACTGACTGCTTTGTCCAATGAACTAGCTAAAAATTCTGGAATTGATAGCCTTCTTTCAGGATGGCTAGAAAGATGGTTTGGTAAATGGAAAGGAGTCATGGCCCCAATCTTCATTTCTCTTGCAGTCATGATAGGTGTGCTTATTCTTGTTGGGTGTTGCATCATACCATGCATCCGTGGGCTGGTACAAAGGCTTATAAAGACAACACTCACTAAAACCTCCCTTCATGTTCCTCCACCCTATTCAGGTAAGCCTTTCCTTTTAGAAGACCAAGTTGAACAGCAAAGCCAGGACATGTTAAAAAGGTTTGAAGAGAAGGGATTATAAAAATTTTAAAGGGAGGAATTGTAAGAGACAATGAATCTTCCTGAGTTTCTCTTCAAAAGGTTTAGCCTGTTAACTTCCTTACCCTTTGTTCTCCAACTCAACTTTCTTGTTTTTCCTTGCCAACAGTTACTGTAAACAGCCTACCTCCTTCCCATCAGTTCTAATCAATAACTCACATCTGTTCCCTTGGTTACCTGTACCCATTGTTTCCTTGAAACCGCATATCTCACACGCTCCATCACTGTACCTCACGTCCGCCTCCCATCCATATTTAGAAAAATATTTACAAGTTGCCAATCAGATCAGCTCAGATTGTGTGGTCTGACCCCAGCCCATGGGGGAAGAACACAGAAATAGGGATCGTGTTAGGGATATAAAAACCCCATGGTATCCTTTGTTTGTTGTGCACTTGTGATCTTGATTGATAGGAGTGGCACCCTTTTGCAAAAGTAAATTGCCTTGCTGAGGAAATTAAATTTATATTCAAGTGCTGTTTCTTTTGCGGCATCAGAAATTCACTTATAACAAGTTCAACTTAATATTTTTGTGGTGGAAAAACATTTATCTGAAATGTATGATTAATTTTAATTTTATTTTTACTTTTCCTTTTATTAAGTTGGTTAAATGTATACTTAAAATATATTATGGAGTGCATAGACCTATTTTTGTAAAATTTTTATCACGTTCCTTCAATCTGTTCATTCTACTAAGTTTATATTCTTATATGTATACTTATATTAACAGTGATGTTTAAAATGATTCTCACTAAATGTTAATAATGGTTATTTTAAGAGTAGTTAGAATTTGTGGTGAGTTTTTATTTTTATTTTTTTTTTGTATTTTTGTATTGCTTTAATTTTTTCAAAACAAAGATGTATAATTTATAGAGAAATAGCAGTCATTATTCTAAGATCAATAAAGGAGGAGACCACTAACAGGAGAACAAGGGAAAAGCAAGTATGGAATATATGGGACCAAATAATTTTCTAGCCTGTCTCTTGGATCTGCAGCTGGCTTCTTTCAAACTGTGTGAGTGCCTTTATGATGCAAATACAAGATTAATTCCCCTGATGTTTTGCTACTGAGCCAGAACTTTACATGTTCAAGAATATGGTCACTATATTGCTAGACTATGTCCACTGAAGTTGGAAATAAAATGCACAGGTATAATTTTTCAAGATATGGTTTGTCAACTAGCAGCACTGGCATCACCTGGGTACCTGTTAGATATACAGAATCTCACCTTACCTGACATACTCAATCGGAATTTACATTGTAACAAGATCCCCTGAAAGATCTGTATAAACATTTAAGTTTGAAAAGCACTGCTTTAAAAGCTCTAACGGCTCAGTTTTCCAATAAGGATGTTGAACAGTGGCTTACATAAAGCTATAGAGATTAATCCTATAGTGGGTTTGCAGAAAAGAGAAAAAAAGATTTTTTTCTGTGCACATGAAATTATTCATTCCACAATTTAGCTGTGTTTTATAGGCTATGGGGACCATCTTTGGTGTGGCTGGGCATCTACACATTTTTAAACATATTCAGAGTGATGTCAGGGGATTTCCAGGAAAACAGACACAATGGTTGATGGTTAAAGAAGAAAAGGGAAAGCTTTCTTGTTTGCTGGCTTGTTTTGTTAGCGCAAGACATGAAGAATCAGGCTGAGGGTAGAGTTAATTAGCATTATCGAAAGTGAAAAAAATAGCATTACCTGCAAGAGTTGTCAGCACTTGTAATTCTTTTTCCAAACTGTCTAAGGTACATTGATCAGTAGTGTCATATAAGGAAAGCTCATTCTGGTCAGTAATATCAATATATTCAATTTCTGAAATTTCAGAAGCAGCTCTAGACAATGATTGAGCAGTTGCACTTCTTGATCGACAAGGAGAGGATGAAAGGCAGCTGGAGCTTTCTTTAACAGAGTTGGAAAGTGGAAAATTTGATGTTGAAGGTCTCTGTGATTTCCAATCTAAAATTAAAAGTAAAAAGATTTTAAATCAACTTTGAAAAATTTGAATGAGTAGTTAAAGATACAAGTTACCAGGTCCCTGCACACAGAGAAGTTAAGTTCATGTAACAGAGTTTATGCAAAATTAACTTTGACTATCACCCTTTCTAGCTAACCACATTTTCTTAATCTCAAATTACTTTTCCAATGTCATAAAGAACACTTCTGTGTATTTATTTTTTTCCTAATTTTCCTACATTCAGAGAAAAACAAACTAATTTTAATATTCACAAAGGAAAATATCTATAAACTAAGTCAACTTCATAAAGAAACAACACACAATTTTATAATGTATTCCAAAGCCAAGCACCACGACATGTGTCTTAAATTCCAGGACAATACCACACTATACCTTGCAAGAAAAAAACCCTTAGAAAAAGCATGTTGCCACTTCCTAGTGAACCAATTTTACTTGATGATCTGTAATTTATTCTTACATTTAAAAATATGGCAACAAAACAGACTAATTTACAAAATCTACATGAATATTTGGAAAAACGCAGGCTTTAAAGAAATTGAGATCACATCTCTAATTTTCCGAAGGATGAGCTCACTCTCTTCTGGAAAAGTTCCAGAAGCACCCATCTCTGTCAGGTTATTACATTGTTCCACTAGGACAGTCACTACTTTGTCTTGATCCATTTTGAAAGTCAACTTAGCTGGTTTCTTCAGCATGTTTGCTTCTTTCACAGTAGGAAAAAAAAAAATCTCTTCAAATCTTACACTAACACAACATAACTAATTTCTAATTTGGTACTTCTCACAAAATATTACTTAATAAGGCCAAGAGAGTTTTCAAGGTACATATTTAAAAATTTGTAGGGCAGGTAAATGCTTTAATGTAATAAATTATTGTTCTGATTTAGGTAAATATGTTTATAGTAAACATAATTATATTATAAGAGAACTTTGCACTCCCTTAACACAAACTGGCTTTGTAAAACTATTAGGTGAGTTAATGTGCAATTGTCATTATCATAAAAACTCTAATTTGATGGAACCTATGCCATAGAACATTGTTTTCATTCTAGCAACTCAATGAAAAATATAAAATTCAAAAAAGTGACTACAGGCGGTCATCATGTATTAAGTATTTAATGACCATTGAGTTGATGTTGTTGTTGTT